TGTGTGTGTGTGTGTGTGTGTGTGTGTGTGTGTGTGTGTGTGGTTGTGTGTGTGTGAGAGAGAGAGAGAGTGGTGGGTCTGATACAGTGACACAACATGCAGTGCTTTCTAGCAGCTTCCAGATGGATCCTATCGTCACTCATTGAAGTCTCATTAATATGAGGGTCACACACACACACATCCGGTCGCATACGGTCTCACCGAGGTACCGTCCCCTCTTCCGGTCCCCCTGCTCTATTGTCTGGAGAGCATCCCACTGTGGTTCAGTTCCGGAGGGGGAAGAGTGAAGACTCACTGACCAGTGAATAAAGGAGAAAAACAGAGAAATGCTATTCTTGTTTTTCTCGCCTTGCTCATTGTAACACTGGCATCAACAGTAATGTTTTACTTGTGCTGTTTTCTGAGGCAAGCATCGCTATTACTGTTGCACATACTTTATGTTGAGGATTTAAACACACCCCTAACCCTAAATATGTAACTTGTCCCACACCATCTAAGATTTGTGCTACAGACGTGATTGCTACCTCAAATCATGCGGCTTGTTGATGAATTACAAAGATTTACAATGAAGGAGGAGTCCAAGCCATTTATAGAGACCAGAATATCATAGAGACTTGTAAATGGGCTCATTTGACCTGAACCTGAAGGAAACCACTTAGAACACACTAGCAACCACATGGAAATGCGTTAAAAATATTAAAAACATCTTAGCAACCACATAGCAGCCACCCACAATATACTAGTATTGCACCACGCACATTTTCCTCATGACTTTCTGCTTTAAATGGCCAAATAGATGCATAAGCTTTCTGAATGTGATGTTATTGGTACATGGAAGCTGTAGCTGATTTCGAGTGGTGTCTGGTGTGTGTTTGCAGGAGTTTTGTCTCTGCAGGAGTTTAAGCGCGTCAGTGGTGGAGTGTTGCAGTATGGCAGCGCTGGCCAAGGTTTGGACGGACATGCCAAGGTCAGGCAGAGAAGCACACACACTCGACTTTATCTCGGAGAGGGCACACACCACCTGCTGAAGAGCATCAGAAACAGGTAGGGCTTTCAGTGGCCTGTAGCACGAAGCAAGATGAACAAACTCAGAGTTGCAGAGTAAGTTTTGAGTGTTTGAGTATGCACCTGACAAACCCAACCTGGTTTAGATCAGGATCATCTGTTGCACAACGCTTGGTATAAACGTTCTCTATCAACTCAGGTTGGATCCAGACTTTGTGAGGCGTGTGCACCTGAAAGTGCGACACGTGCGGCAAACAGCCATTCACACGTAACATGGAAAGCATCGGTTTGATTGACTCCTCGCGAGAGTCAGCGCAATTCACTTCTCTGTTGAAGATGAAAAAATAGCATGAATTGAAACGCATTTACAAGGCAGGAATAAACACTGCTGCAGTGAAAGTTTGAGAAGGCAGCTACTGACTATATCAATGCAAGTGACTCAACTGAATTTATATTACTAGGAGCTCAAAAGAAAAGCTTCATGAGTTTAGAAAGCTTTATATACTGAACCTTGTATTTATATGTAGTTTAATATTAATTGTTAACTCATATAATTAATTATATTAATGTATGATATGAATTATACATAATTATAATATAGAAAATATTAATATAATAAACAATTAGCAGCAAAAGGTCTGTCTCTACATTTTTATCACTATAAACTTTCATTTGTAGTGAGAGATAAAGGGGATATATGATATATATGTGTTACTTTGCTCAGAGCTGATTGGTCCAGCTTTGGTTTGCGATCTCTAACTCAGATTAAAACCTGCTCGGGAGCAGGGTAGCCGTGTAGAGTAAGTTACCATGATGACGAAACCCACTTAAAACCAACCCACCTTCTAGAGCCCGAAAACTCAAGAGTTTGCTCAAACTAAACGCGAACTGAAACCGGCTTCGTGCTACAGGCCACTGACGGGTGGAGTAGTGCCTAAAGCTCAGGGCTGGTAATCAAAAGGTTCCTGGTTCGATCCGTCACAATTATGAAATGACTGAAATTAAAATACTGTCATTGTTTACTCACCTTCATATCACTCTAGTCCTGTACAGCTGTCTTTCTGCTGTGGAACAATTTGTTTTGGACTTCTCATTGACTTTCATTTTATGGACAAAACAGTTGAAACATTTTTTTTTGGGGGGAGGCTTCCTTATTGAGTTTCATTGTTTTGTTTGTTTTTTTGACTCCTCATTGGCTTTTGTTTTTGTTTTGGATTCCTCATTGACTTTAAAACTAATGGTTTTTTTTTTGCCTTCCTTATCGACTTCCTTATTATTTTGTTTTGTTCCTTTTGCTTTGTTTACTTTCATTGTAATGCCAAACAGTTGAGACTTTTTGTTTGTTTTGCTTTGTTTTGTTTTGGACTCCTCATTGACTTTCATTGATTGGACCTTTTTTTTTTCTTCTTTGAATCCTCAATGATTTTCATTGTTTCAAAATATCTTCCTTTATGTTTCACACAAGTCATACTGGTTTGAATATTGGAACAACATAAGAATGAGTACATTTTGAAGAATGTTTCAGTTGTTTCTGTAGAAAAGAAAAGGTTTTGTTCTGTAGCAGAAAGACACTCATACTGGATTTTAATGATATTTGAGTGTGAGTAAATGACAGAATTTTCATGTTTGGCTGAACTATCCCATTAATCGCAGGTCACCCGAGGAAGATTGTTCTAAGTCATTACATTGTTACATTGCTTTGGGTAAAAGTCTGCTAAATGACTACTTATGTTTGTACTAGACGTAGTACACAAAGTAGAGCTAGTTTAAAACATGCAAATATACATTGCTATTTGCACTGCTGGTTAGATGCTAACTGCATTTCATTGGCTCTGTACTTGTACTCTGCACAATGACAATAAAGTTGAATCTAATCTTCTAAATAAAAGCACAGACAAACTATTAATTTTTTCTCCAGAGTGACCCGTTTAACACGACTGCCGTCCTCATTGGTCGATCTCAGCGAGCCAATGGAAGTAGTCCGTTATGAGCAGGGCGGGTACAGCCACGCCCACCACGACAGCAGCCTCACCAATCCTGACAGTAGCTGTGCCCACACACACCTGGCAGCTAATAACTCTGCCTCCACACAGGTCGCATGCAGGTACATCTACTGTACAAGACATTTGGAATCTATTGTTTGACTTCTAAAAATGTTACGCCATAATAAAAGTATTTCTGTTTCACAGGTATCTGACGGTCTTGCTGCATCTGAACTCGGCGGATGGAGGAGGAGAGACCAGCTTCCCTGTGGCTGACAACAGGACGTATGAGGAGGAGGTGAGCCATGTCCTGTTTCTATGGCAACTGGGGGAGGTGAGCTCTGTTGCCATAGCAACCAGGCAGCAACCGGAAGAAGGTCTTGAATTATGATAGCCATCTTAGGCACTTGATGTTACTGCAGCTTCACTTGGAATCTGTGTGTGTGTGTGTGTGTGTGTGTGTGTTTCAGGTCTTAGGTGATCTCTCTCAGCAGTACTGTGATAAAGGCAATCTGAAGGTCAAACCTGTAGCTGGAACCGCTCTGCTGTGGTACAACCACCTCTCAGATGGCAATGGTGAGTTTCTCTTTTTCATATACCTCCATTTCCTGTATTTGTGACTATATTTTTTATTATTATTAAATTTTTGCCTAATTATCCCATGGACTTGCATTGAAGGAGCAGTCTGAGCTCATACCAAAATATCATAACAACCACATAGCAACACCCTAGCAACACCAGACGTAACACTGTGGGTTAAAAGATTTAAGAATGTTTTTGAAAGAAGACTTCATTCAACATTAAAAAATCGTAATTATTCCATACATTTGACTGGTAGTGTATGCATAATGAATATTAATGAACTCACCATTGTTCTTTTCCATTTATTTCTGTCAGGTTGGGTTGGAGAGTTGGATGAATTCTCACTCCACGGCAACTGCTTAGTCACTCGGGGCTTCAAATGGACAGGAAGTGTGTGGGTGAACATTGACCCTGACCAGCAGCGGCAGGAGTGCTACCAGCGTCTGGTCTCATGGCATCCAGACGAGCAAAGCAAAAAGCCCGAGCACGGATACCTTCACCAAGACCTCTGAACCAGACGTCCTGTCACACCGTGTCTACACTGGACGCTACAAAGCGACCGTTGCAAATCATTTGTACATTGTGTCAGTACGTCATAAATAGAACGAGGCAGCAGCTTACTATCGGGGATCTGTTGTGTCGCATTGCGCCGCATCCAGTGTAGACAGCATCACTGATAATAATAGGGTCTATTGTATTTTGTCATGTCGTGCGGCGCCGCTCGTGTCCAGTGTAGACACGGTGGTAGAAATTACACTCCTATGCTGATCTAGAATCAGTTTCCGCTAATGTGAAGCCTTGCTTAGGAAAGTAAAAGCTGGTGCAGTAAGAGATACCCACTGCTGCAAGCTTTACCTTTATGTAGCTGTCACCCCCTGCTCCAGTGACATATCATTTAATATTCATGAGTTCAACAGGGAAATGGCTCTTTCAATAGCTCAACATTCACTGATATATAGTTTGCTGGTGTTGCACAAGTTATTTAATCATTATTTATTTAAAAAGTTTTATTCAATGTGGCATATTTATTGAAGATATTACTTATTTGTCATATTGCTATTTATTTAATTATTTATTCATATATATATATATATATATATATATATATATATGTATGTATTAGTCAAATAATGTGTGTCTATCTCAGGTTTGGTTATGCCCAGGTAGGCTTTTTCCATTTTAATGCACTATTTCAAGCAAAGAAATTGTCAGATATTTAAGTTAAATGAATAAATAAATTCATACTTATGGAAGAGTGTATGGGTGGTGTTTTCGGTTTCACTGGTCAACTTTCTGTAGGAATTAAACCTCAACTGTCACACATAACAGATTTCACCGATATGCAAGTGCACGTGTTCCCCACAAGAGGGCATTTTCTTCACTTAACAAGGTCTCTAACAACTGCTCTGTTTATTTATGCATAGCAGCTTGGCTATACTGCTCTTGCAGATCTTTCAAGTCAATAAATCGAGCTAGAGCCATATTCAGTTTTTGGCAGGTATGAAAACCAGGCTGTGAGGGATAGAAATACAGTGTGTTTAATGGACTGTACTGTCAACAACACACCGATTGTTCAGCTGACAAAACATCTTTCCAAAAACACTTTTAGTAGCCAAAAACTCCATAAACCAGTTTTGAATGTACATTATCTAGGATCTTTATACAGCACGTGCCACTGTAAAGACTAAAGGCGTCGATGATACACAGGGCAACTTTTTGAGCAATGTTGCTGTCAGCTGGCAACCAGGTGAGACACGGGGCCCACGACCCATCTAAAGTATCCAGATGGAAATTTGTAGCCCGTTCTCAATGGGAAAGTGCCCAAGCAACATTGCTCCAAAAAGTTGCCCTGTGTATCGTCACTTTTAGTCTGTCCTTCACAGCTTCATTTTCATTCGTGTTAAATTCAAGATAAACTTCTCATTTTAGTAACCTTATAATTCCATTTGTTTTCATTACAAAGAGCTATATTCCCAGAATGTTGTCACTTTAGATGACACATGCCATAGTCAAAAGAAGAAGAAGAAAAACATCTGAATTGACACACACACATACACACTTCTCCTGTGCTGTTGCGGCTGAGGGAACTCAAGAGAACAGCATGTAAGCCCTTATTGCAAAAGATCCTTTAATGCCTCCTGGATCTTGAGGCTTAATACAGAGTCTATGGAATTTTGGGGCTTTTGGTGACTTACTAAACTTGAATAGTTTCTCGCAGCTGTTTGGCTATGCTTGTATTTATTATGTACTGTATAAATTTGATACTGCTTTGTGAGTACCTTTGGGATTGGCAAATGCAAAAGACCTTTTCTATCCCCTGAAGTATGATGCAAACTACTTTAATGGTATAGTAGGATTACGGTTGGTCTAGAGGGGGTTATTTAGGTCCACTGTAACAACTAGAGAAGTTAGAAATGGAGACAAAATCTTCAAATGTGTTTTAGTATCAAACTAGATCCTGAGTGTATTATGACAGGTAAGCAAAACATTTAAAAATGGAGTAAAATTTCTTTAATTAAAAAGGACTTTTTAAATATTAAAAAAACACTTAATTAAAATTGTAATTTATAATAAAAATATATTTTAGTAATTAAAAATTGCTTTAATACTTAATTACTAAAATGTACCTTAAAGTTTTTTCAAACATTTCAAATATTTTTTTTTATTATTATTTTAAATATTAAATAATTTTCACAAACTACATTGTCTAAAGGTAATCGGCCATGATTAGTTCAACAGTAAGGTTAGGTCCAGGGAGCATCAGCTCAAATCAGGTTCCTTTTGCCAAACCACATTCATCCTTCCTTTCTCACCAGCTCCTCAGCTAATAATCAAACCAGTGTCCTCAAATTAACCCAGCAATGCATTGATCATGAGCGGCTCTCTCTACGCATATCTGTTTAAAGCACTTTAGCTCTGCAATTTACAAGTCCCCAACACATCATCTTAATCTGCGTGTTAGCAGGGAAATACTGTATGTATAGCTATGTTGGTTCCAGACTGTGGGAGTGAAGCTAGTCAAGTACGCAGCTTTGGTCAGGTACGCGTTTCTGTGACGACACCGCACATCAGCCAATCACAGACGAACGTACATTCGTCAGCCAATCACAGCGCCGCGCCGAGCGTGATAACGCGGACGCAGCGAGCGAACTGAGCGCTGACGCTCATGCTTCTTCTAGCGGTGTAAGATCCAGCGAGACAGGCGGCGACCTCACACCTGCTTCTCCGTTATATTACCTAACCAAACCGGGAGATTCCTTAAGACTTTACTGTCATTCGCGTTTAACCAACATCCATGCGATTCTTCAGGCTTACCTTCAAGTGCTTTGTCGACTGCTTTTGAGACCCTTTTATCCCTCGTCTGCCAGCGACGCACGTCAATTATTATAATTTGGAGCTCAGTCTCGTCCACATTCTGCTGAAGATCAATTTTACGCAAACAATCACACCGCAACCCCACGGGAAAGTACTGAACCACGTGAATTAAAAAAATAAATAAATAAAACGCGAAGAACCGTTATTTGTGAATTCTCGGGGGCGCACGCGGCATGTCGCCAGAAGAGCATTTCTCCAGTAAGAACGACTTTATATGTTTGTTTGTTTACATAACTATTTGATCATGACATTTTAGTGGCTGCATCTTTACAGAGACCTGACATAAAATATAATCTAAACATTGATATTGAGCGGAATCAGATTGGTGTGTGGCGTAATGTATCTTTATATTACACGGACTGCGCTAAATCTCTCGAGTTGATCCAGATCTGGTCTCTGCGTGTATTTACTTGTATCAAGTGTCTCTCCTTAACTTTCTTCCTTACACACGCTCTCTCCCCCACACACACACAGTCCCTCAATCCGCTCCAATCTGGATTCAGCTGCATCTCTGACATGCTTAAAACTGCCAGTGATGTCACAGGAGCACAGCAATCAATCAAAGCATGCTGAATGGGTGCATGTGAATTCATATATATATATATGTATAACGAGAACTATTTAAATCAAATATGCAAATTTGTGATATCTATACTACAAAGGCCTGGAGTTCACATCAGTTCTAATTCTGCTGCTATTAAAGCAAAAGAAGATCAAGCACTCACAAAGTCATGTTCGTCTCTCTCTCAGATGATTGTGGCACGTGTGAGGATGAATCTCAGGAGGAAGCAGAAGTCGCCCGTCCTTTGGTGTCAGAAACTGAGGGGTCCAGTACGGAGGCTGCTGAGCCCAGTGTTTGCGTGGGTTTGATGAAGACCGGTGACCCCAACACAGAACTGGGGCATTCAGAACGACAAACATGGAGCAGGCAGATGGACTTTATCATGTCCTGTGTTGGATTTGCTGTTGGCCTTGGAAACGTCTGGAGATTTCCTTACCTCTGTTATAAGAATGGTGGAGGTGAGATACATACAGGCACAGATATATCATATCTAACCGAACAGATACATAGAGTGGGGTCTAAAAGTCTTCAGATTAAATTGAAAATGTGAGATTTTCCACTCTATACTCAATTACTGATCAATAAGTGACCCTGATAAAAAAAAACACCTGAAAAAAAAAAACGTTGTTCTATCATACACACTCTTTAAGGAATAGTTCACACAAACTGTAAATTTGCATAAGATTTACAGGCCAGTTTGTAACAGATGAGTTTGATTCTTCATGGGAACAGATTCAGAGAAATGTAGCATTGCATCACTTGTTCACCAATGGATCCTCTGCAGTGAATGGGTGCCGTCAGAATGAGAGTCCAAACAGCTGATAAAAACATCACAATAATCCACAAGTAATCCACACCACTCCAGTCCATCAGTTAACGTCTTGTGAAGCCAAAATCTGCATGTTAATAAACAAATCCATCATTAAGGCGTTTTAACTTCAAACCGTTGCTTCTGTCCAAAATAGTCCATCTCTCACATCAAAATCCACCAATGTATTTGTTAAGAGCTGTTTTGGACTGTTTTCGCTTGTAAACAGTGCTTGATCTTTGCATATTTCTCTCTGTGCATATTTCAGATTTAGACAAGACAACTTTTTCACTGGAGAAAGCAATATTATGTATAGAATATTAAAAGCATCTTGATGGATTTGTTTCTTACAAACAAGTGTTTCACTTCACAAGACGTTAACTGATGGACTGGAGTGGTGTGGGTTACTTGTTCAATTCAATTCAAGTTTATTTGTACAGCGCATTTCACGATACAAATCATTGCAAAGCAACTTCACAGCAAATGAAACACATGGATTGTGGATTATTGTGATATTTTTATCAGCTGTTTGGACTCTCATTCTGACGGCACCCATTCACTGCAGAGCATCCATTGGTGAACAAGTGATGCAATGCTACATTTCTCCAGCAAACCCATCTGCACCTTCGATGGTCTGAGGGTGAGTACATTTTCAGCAAATTTCCATTTTTGGGTGAACTATTCCTTTAACACTAATAAACTAAATCATCTGAAATGTAATGAAGTATCTGGCAGTAGAGATAAATTAGAAGGTCAAAGCACTGAGAAAAATAAACGTCGGCCCGACAGACAGGAAGAAAGAGGAAGGACAATGGCTGTCTACTGTTCATGACCGGAGTTTATCAAAGGTTGAAGAAGTGATGCTCTGTTCTTTGTTCTCCTCTCCTTCTCTCGTAACATTAACCATCTGTGCAGCTCTTCTGATGCATGTAGGTGGTGATGTATGCTGCTTAGAGTTATAAGCTTGTTTTGTTTCCCCTTCACTGTCAGCTGAAGCATGTCAATAAGTCAGCATCAGTGTCATCAGACGCCACCTCAAGAACCGTGTCAGTTGTGTGACGTATCTATAGAGCTGATACTAAACGTTAAATTTGTTATCCGTCTGTAAACATGATTTGCGAGGGAGACCTAATCTATCTTGCGCTCTCTCTTACATACACAAAGTACATTTGAGTACAAGAGTTTAGTATGCCCCAAAAATGTAAATTCTGTCATCATTTACTAAAAACTTCATGTCATTCTAAACCTGAACACAAAAAAATTTGTTTCTTTGTCCACAGAGTGAAAGTCAATG